GGAGAATATAGTCAACGGGCAACCATTCAAAGGAATGTTTATACCATTTTAATAAACCCATTATTATTAAAGAAATTATTTTAATTAACCTACAATTATACAAATATGAATAATAGTCCTTTTTAAATCTAATTAAATAAAGGATGAAATATTAATATTGAGAATATATTAATTTAGAAAATTAAAATCTTATAATAAATTAATTTCTATTTAATAAATCATTATCATATTTAATTATTGTAACTTCTATAATCATTAGTTGCAATTTCAGGTAAATAACAGATCAAAATCTTGGGGATTTTGGCAAATATTTTATTTATTGGGGGAAATGATGGGGCTTTTTAAGAATAAAATAGAAATATTTGACTTTTTCTGCAATTACCGTTAAATTAATAAAAATATTTTTAAAATTTTATATTTTGTTTTTTAAATATTTATAAAGTTTTAATAATATTCTTAAATTCAAAATTTATGAGTTAGCCATAAATTAAAAAAGCACTCACTTTCATCACTGAATGAGTTAGCCAACTCAAAATCGTGTCGCCTTCCACCTGACAACGCATACCTAAGCTTATACAAACTCATTGTATAGGATACCCCACTTACATGTCTCCACATGAACGATTTGGATCAAATTATTTGTAACGATTACAAAGTGGGTCGTATCAATATTGTTACCAAGATAAGGCACTCAAATTTATTCATATACAATGTACTCTTTAGGTTATTAGTTGAACATGATTCTCTTCTATGTCAACCACATACGGTTCAAGATTACGTTAATAACATTGGATTTTCATACCATGGATAAGATTTAAATTATAAATAAAATAATAAAAATTATTGTTAAAAAACTAAATAATTAATTACGAGGCTTTAGAGCATCCCAACAGGATACCCAAGTATATAGCCGGTCGTTTTATATTAAAACAGAGAGCAGAGAATGATTTGAGAAAGAGAGTTTGAAAGCAAGATTTGAGAGAAATAAAGAAACTAATATTATAGGCTTTAAGCCAATAAACACAACTACTTAAACTCTAGATATGAAGAATTGACTACTAGTCACATCCCATTATGAGGCATTTTAGGTCTACCAGGCGTAGACATAGTTCTGTCGAAACGTCATACACTTAGAAAATACAGTAAGGAAACTATACATCACGAAAGCGATAAAGTGATACAACACGATTTTGGCATGCAACGAACATGCACCTCATGGGCAACACGCCTTAAACAAGCATGACCGTGATACTTAGCACACTAAATTAAGAACAAAATGTCACCCGACACCCACCCACTTTTTCATCGACTTTTAGAAAGAAAAAAAAAGCGGGTTTCAACTACCTTTGAAAAACAAAGTCAAAAGGAAAGAAAATCGTAAAAGACGTAATACAGTGAACGTTTTCAAAGACAAACTCGTTGAAGTAGTTTTTCGTATCTTTCCATTTCCTTTGTATGAGAACAAACACGCTCGCTATCAAGCTAAAAAAGACAGCTTGAAAGCGTTCTCTATTCTCGTAATCGTATGTATATTATACATACTCGATCCAACCTCATCTCTTTAAAATTAAATCGAATCCTCTTAGGGTATCAATATCGAATTTGAAAAAGCTTCCCATATAAATCTCGAATTCATATTATTCTTTTCCTCATTTAAGCGAAAAAGAATTTAAAACTCTAACCATTCAAATTTCTACTCCGTCATAGACACAAACGACAAACATACCTGTAATTTTTTGTTCTCGAGTCGAAAAAAAACCTCATTTTTCATTATATTTTGAAATGTGGAATTATTTAATTATTATTATTTTTTAATTGACGGGATTATTTAATTATTGTTTACGAAAGACGGTGGGATAATAATAATAATAATAATAATAATAATAATAATGTAATTAGATAAATGAAATATTTTAATCACAATCGTCCAAAGATATGGAATCAAATCAATGGCTATAAAGTGACCATAGAGAATCTAAACAATCATATAAAATGGCTAACTTTTAAATATTTTTCTTTCCTAAATGCCTATGAATAATTTCTTTAATTGAATATTTTAAAAATAAAAAATTAAAATATCCCAAAAAAACCCATAAAATAACATATCCAAAGAACAAGGAACAAGAATTTTTGTGAAATAAAGAGGTGGCAAATGGGAATAGATTTTAGTGGAAATTAATTAAAGAAAGCATATAACAAATGTGGATGGATGGATAAACATAGCCCTTCCCTCCTATTTTTAATTATTTTTTTTAATTTAAATTTCATTTTCGACCCGAAACTTTTAAATTTATCCTATTTTGATTCCCGAACTTCAAAACATGTCCCAACTATATCCTAGGTTACTGTAAAATTTCAAGTTTGTGTTAAATAAATTTTTTAAGGAACTTATTGTTCTATTCGATCTTTTTTAAAATTAATAAAATTATTAAACGGTAGTTTATTAACAAAATTAATTTAAATTCATAGGCTTTCAAAAGTTTCAATAATGTCCTTAAATTTTAGACGAACACTCTCCACAATAGTATCATATTGTATGCTCAACTTTAGGCTTCCTCAAGAGGCCTCGTACCAATGGAGAGAGTATTCTTTGATTATAAACTCATGATCCTTCCCTAAATTAGCCGATGCGACATTGTATTGAGAGACTTTGGCCCGAGAAGAGCCAAGGTTGAGCCGAATGAGTTGGCCTAGTGTAGAGGCAAGTCAGATGTGTCGCAGACGATTGAACATGCACGCGCAGGCGGCGTGTGTGGTTGAACAAGCTTGGATTCTGCACAAGCAATGTTCGATTGGTGAAGACAAACCTCGCCTAAGGTCCGACAAAGCCACAAAGCCAAGGCGAAAAATATATATGGGGCTTAATTCCCCTCAAGGCTAGTTGTGAGCGTGTCAAGATCACAACGCCGCACGATCGAAAATGTAGGACCGTGTGTAACTTTCATCGGCCAATAATTTTAATTTTTTGAAAATTTTTGGATATTTTATAGACAAAAATGCAGCTGAATATATATATATATATATATATATATATATTCTTTCTTATTGAACTTGGAAATTTTATTTCGTTAGTTGATTTAAAAAAAGGGACCGCCCAAATCAAAAGTATATAAGCATCTCTCAATCGATGGAATCCCTAAATCTTGTGCATATTCATGCAACTAAATCGCTTCACTACCTCATTCCATTGCTCGCCCACAATAATGTTCTTTTATTATTCGTCATCCTCGCCTCTCCTTTTTGTACACTTGATTCTCGTTAGGGTTTTTCTTCTTCAGATTCGATTAGGTTAAAATCGTTTATCGTATGATTTTTTTTTTCACATTCGATGTCGACCCAACCCAGATGCAGTTTCAAGTAAGTGACGAACTTGGTCTGTAATCCCTCAACTGTTTGAGTTGGATAAGATGTTGAAATACACTGACTTGTAAGAATATGAACGGGTTGGGTTGGGTTGGAGAAATGATTCCGGACTGGTTGGATTGGTGACCCAAATAACCCAATATAGAGTTTACAATCTAACACTCTAGTTTCGAATTTGATTGGGTTGGGTTAGGTTGTCGGGTTTTTTCTGAAAAGAATCCTACATATCCACGATACTTCAAATATCAAACATTCACAAGTCACAATGCATCACTGATATCAGTTACAAATATCAAATATTCTTAATCTTCATAGTAATCTTATAAGTAGATAGGATTGAGTTGGATTGTAACCCTATTTTTGGGTTTACCCGACAAACAAAATGTCAACCTGCGAACCAACTCGAATTTTTATGTTTTGGGTTGTGTAGTTCAAGGTGGTCGGATTACCGAGTCATATGAACATTTCTATCATCTTGACCCATTAAAGTGACATGTGTACGACAATACTATATTTAGTTCATCGACCCGACCCGACCCATTTCGTAGTGTCAAGTATAATATGTTGTGACCTATTTCGAGTTAAGGACTATGAACCGGTTCAAATCAAATCATGCATCGAAACTCGATTGATTGAACGATTTCATGAGGTTTGAAACGTATGGCAAAGGGAGAGAAGTGGTCTTGTCAATTGGGTCATGGACAATTCAAACGTGTCCAAATACACACACTCTCTTAATCCCCAAGTGTACACATAATCAAATCATAATCTAACCTTTTTCTTTCTTAGGTTAAGAATATTAATGATTGATTATAAAAATTCTTTCTCCATTAACCGTCAGATACACAGTTTGGTTTGAATATACAGATATGCTCCACTTTGACTCGTTACATATAACTATCAGTCTCACAGTTTTTAAAACGCACATGCTAAAAAGAGGTTTCCACACCCTTATAAGGAATGTTTCGCTTTCATCTGTGGGATCTCACAATCCACTTCATTGGAAGCCTCCTTGGCACACCGCCCGATGTCTAGCTTCGATACCATTTGTAACAGTCTAAGTTTACTGCTAGCAGATATTGTCCATTTTAATCCATTACGTATAGTTTCCGCCTCAAGAATTTCCTAATATTATTATATTAAGAGGTTGACATTAAAAAAAAAAAAATAAAAGTGGAAGCTTTGTAAGGTGAAATCATGATTAAAATTATATTCCATAAATTAAAATAAAAAGAGGACAAGTTTTGTCGTGCCACGTAAACACTTCGTTTTATTCTGTCCCTATGACCTTTTTATTCCAATATTACCCCTACTTACTAATAATTATCAATTAATTTTTTTTAATGTGAGAAAATATTATTAAAAAAATAAAAATAAAAATTCAAGTACATATTATATATTTTTTTAAAGCTAAGGGACTTTTTATTAATTATTATCATCTTAAAAAATTTTAAAATAAATATTTTAGTCGATAATATCGTATGAAATCAAATTATTCCGTTTGTATTTTTTTTAATTAAATTAATTAAATTTAAATTATACACAATAATAATATTAATTTATTTGGACTTTTGCCTTGAAAAAGTCTCCACTATAAATAGAATTCCCTCGAATCCTTTTCTCCTCACTATCTTCTCTCTCAGACAAAATCGCCACCATTGATAACCGGAAAATGCAGTACCAAGCCCAACAACAATACGGAGCATCCTCTTCGTCCTCTTCTCCGATGCGGCGGATAGAGCGGATGGCGGCGGAGAACGCGGTGGTGATGTTCAGCATCAGTTCATGCTGCATGTGCCACGCGGTGAAGCGTCTATTTTGTGGAATGGGAGTGAACCCGACAGTGTACGAGCTGGACGAGGATCCACGTGGCAAAGAGATAGAGAAAGCGTTGATGCGGTTAATGGGAAGCTCCTCCTCCTCCGCTGTCCCCGCCGTCTTCATCGGTGGCAAACTTGTCGGCTCCATGGATAGAGTCATGGCGTCTCATATCAATGGCTCACTCGTCCCCCTTCTCAAGAACGCCGGCGCTCTTTGGCTCTAAAATGGCTCGAAAAAGCTTGGAATTTTCTTTGCCTTTTCGGTGGCTCAAGAGATGGGTCTGTTTTGAACCCACTGAGATGAAAATATTCTTCGGAAATGGAAATGATTTGGATTCATGGATGGCTGCATGGCGAAAATGGGAAATATTTTATTCAAATAATTAATAGAAAAAAAATTAAAATAACTATTTTAAAGTTTTTTTCTTTTAATTTAATAATAATGGGTAAGACAGAATCGAAAGCTTTGTCGTCTTCCTTGTCTGTAGATTTGAGTTTCATATCCCGCCACCGCAAGCGCCGCCGTAAGAGGTGGTCGGAGCCGGCGGCAGCTTTCAGTGGGAACTGTTTTTTTTAATTATTATTAACGTATGAAGGAGACATCCGTACATAATGTGGGACCCATTTTCCTTTCTATTATAAGTTTTTAACCATTGTTTTTTTTTTCCTGAGCTGCATTTGTCTTTGGAGCAGTACTTGCTGGAATTTTCATATATTAATTAGACTAATAATCCGGATTAACTTAAATCACCGACTTTTTACTTTTCATTAATTGTAATTAATATCTCGAGTTCAAACCACTTAGACTATGTTGAGCCTTCATGGGCGATCAAGGCTCGTGAGTTGAGCCTCCATGTTGAGTTCTACCTAATTCAACTTGAGTAAGACTTGTTGTGTTGACCAAGGTGGTTTGGTTCAAAGGCAACTTGAGATCAAGCCACTTAGGCTACAATGAGCCATTATGGATGACCAAGGCTCGTAGGTTGAGCCTCCATTTTGGGTTCTACCTAATTCAACTTGAGTAAAACTTGTTGCATCGACCAAAATGATTTGGTTCAAAGGCAACTTGAGATCAAGCCACTTAGGCTACATTGAACCATTATGGGTGACTAAGGCTCGTAGGTCGAGCCTCCATTTTGGGTTCTACCTAATTCAATTTAAGTAAGATTTGTGGCGTCGACCAAGGTGAGTTGGTTAAGTTTTAGATACTATAGATATCACATTAGAAAGGACGACAATAAACGATTAGAAACTCAAAACTTATCTCTTAATAAATTGGAATATACGTTTGATGCACAAAATATGTTATATATAATTGTAAAATTCGAGACGCATAATACAACCTTAAATTTATTTAGGTACTTGCCGTGTTTAGTTATCATCGTGATATTGATAGGCAGTTTTTTTCAAATACTGTTTCAATGGCTCAATATAAAAGACGATCAACTTTAAAATTTTTAATATCATATGTTCCAAAATCAAGTAGTGTATTGCTCGGTTTGCAAATATATCTCGTTCTATATATCTATCATAAATCTCGTCTTAATGTTTTTATTTTGAATATTAATTTTTTTTATATATTCTTCGAAAATTGAAATTAAGGTCAAATGTAAAAAATAGAAATAATTTTTTAATTTCAAAAGTTGAGTTATTTTTAATAGATTTTTAGAAAGCACGTGATCAACGAAGAATATGGAAAGGGTCAAAACCGGCGGTTCGCCATCTTAAAGTCTGCGAAAGAGGAGGTCGACGGTTCAAAATCAGACCGTTTTCCACCAAATCCTAATATTCTCAACAACCAATCGCTTTCTCCCACCTAACACTCCTCCACCTTGTTACCATACTCCTTTGCACACCAGATCCTCCCCTTCTTCCGGTATTTTCCACCGACAAACCCCACAGAAAACGATTTCTCTCCCATTTTTCGAAAATATAAAAATTAAAACTAAAAAAATAAACTTAATTTTTTTTAACAATTGTAAATTCCAATCAATTTTAATTTATGTATTTAAAAAAAATTAAATAAAATGGAAAAATATATATTTATGACGAAAATTTGAACTTCTCATGTTTTGATCAATAATAATAAATAAATAAATAAATAAATAATTATCAGGACAATGTATTCAGTTTTTATTATATTTAACGAGGGAGGATATAAACGTAACTTCCCGTTGACATCAAATTAAACAATAAAAAAAATTAAAAGATTCCCACTAAAATAATAAATGAAAATTATCCGGACAATAAATATATAATTAAATCACATACACGACATCGTTTACTAAAATATTTATGTACATTAAATTATTCTGATATATTTTATTTATTTTAATAACTCTTTTAAAAATTATTTTAAAATTTAAAAGTTTAGGAGAAATTGAGTTGAAAGTTGGTGAGTATTTGGTATTATTTATTTATTTGTCTTCTTGTAATTATCGTAAGCAAAATCGAATTAAAAAAATTAAAAAATGGAAAGAAAAAAAAAAATCGAAGAGATAAATGGAAGTTGGGAGCCAATGAAATCAAAACTCGCACGCATCTAAATCAATTTTTATAATTAAATGCACAGAAAAAACCAAATAAGAAGAACAATCATATATGATCGGAGCGAAATCTAGGGTTCTTTCTCGTTTTCAAGATCTCTTCCCGCGATTCTTTAAGATCTCTCTGAAACAGTTTCTCCATTGAAACGATAAAGCTTCTGATTCCTTACATATCTCTATCCTTTTCTCTCTGCGTCTTTTTTTCTCAGGTATTCCCTTCGTTTACTGTTTTCTTTTCTTTTCTGATGCATGATGTTTATGGAATTCAAATGTTTTGAATCGATTACTGTTTATATTTGTTCATCCTGATCATTCTGTTTTAGACGCGGTTTATGTGGTTTTATTCAGTGCTGTGGCTGAGTTAATTAGTGTCGGAGCTCGTTTCTGATGATGTCTTTGTTTCCTCTTTTTTCTGGATGATCGGTTTGAGTATTTGCTGTTTTTCAATTGGTGCAGGTTTGCGATAGCGTTCTCGTGCGGCAGGTAGGTTGGGGGATTTGCGTGGGAAGTTGCTTCTGGCGATGAAGGTGGTGATTTACTGGTAGAGTTCAAATGCCGGACGAGGATTTGATCGAGCTTAAGTTCCGACTTTACGATGGATTGGATATTGGTCCATTTCGTTATTCCCCAACTTCAACTATAGCGATGGTTAAGGAGAGAATTGTTGCAGAGTGGCCTAAAGGTCAGGGAGTTGAATCATGTTATTAGTTTTTTCTTTTTGCTATTTCAATTTGTTGAACTGTTGTATGCAAATGCCTCTGCAGTACATTTGTTAATTCATCTTGTTGCTCAACTTAGAAGTTATAGAACACGCTTATACATGAAGAGAAGAACGATAAAGACAACTTAGATGATAGCTTTTAAGAAAGAATGGCTGAAAGTAGCTAGTATGGATTCTGTAACAGCCTAAGCCCACAGCTAGCCGATATTGTCCTCTTTAGGCTTTCCTTTTCGGGCTTTCTCTCTAGGTTTTTTAAACACGTTTGCTAGAAAGAAGTTTCCACATCCTTAAGAAGAATGTTTCGTTATCCTCCCCAACCGATGGAGGATCTCACAGATTTTACCAGGAATCTTGTATGATATCCAAATCCGGCTCATAATGATGCTGTGAGTCGAGAGGCTAATGATTACCAACTTTGTCTCTGTTGAGCAAGCTGGAAAGGAATGTCTTACATTATATTGGAGGCCTGTTTAGTTATTTTACGACGTCCAGCTTTATCTTCACATTTTCCTTCCATGGCAAATGAGTTGAAGTGCTATTACATTTAATTCTTTTGCATCGCTATCTCACTTCATTCGCCTGTCCAACTGCGTGTAAACTAACTACTTCTGTAAATGTTTTACATTTTATAGATAAGAAAGTTGTGCCCAAGGCAGCAAATGACATAAAACTGATAAATGCTGGCAAGATTTTGGAAAACAACAAGACTGTTGGTCAATGTCGAGTGCCTTTTGGGGATCTTCCTAGCGGAGTTATCACTATGCATGTCGTGGTGCAGCCAACTAAAGCAAAAGCAAAAACAGGTAGCTATCCCATTTGAATTTTAGATGTGTTTCTGCATTACCTTTAATAGCTTGCTATTCTATCGAGAAATAGGCAACGTCATATATTATGTTCGTGTCAGTCATCTAGTATTCGTTTAGTCCGTGTATTTGGATTTTGGTCATTAGCAATAGGGAAAAATATTTTAGATTTTGGCAATGAGATGCGCCTGATTTATTTGTTCGTAACTGGCATCAACATTGTCCTGGCTTCCAGAGGTGTCGAAATGATAACCATTAGCGAGATTATCACTTGAGCTTAAACTTTTAATGAGATGATTCTGATGTTGATGTAGCATGAGTAGGGGTGATTTTGTAATTTCTGTTCGAGTTTGTTAGGCTTGGTTTGATAACGAGTTTTTGTTTTTGAAATTTATGCTTGCTTCCTCCCAATTTCCCAAATTTTGTTAACGAGAGACTTTTGAATTCCTAGTCAATTTCTCAAAATAAAAACAGGTTTTTGAATACTACTTTTTATACTTTTGAAAAATCTATATCATTTTTAAACAAGAAGGAAATTCGAAGTCAAATGAGTTTATACATTTATGTGTTTAAACAATTAGTTTGTATTTCGCTCTTGAATTGATTACTTGGTCATATATGTGTCTATTTAGTATACTTTTATTCTCTAGAATTGTTTGATGCATGTCTAAGAAATGTTAGTCCTACTTTGATTTTGTACAACGAGTGTCTAACACATCTGTTGTCTTAACAAGTGTTCGATATGTGTCCAACAATGTTAGTCCTATTTTGATTTTGTACAACGAGTGTCTAACACATCTGTTGTCCTAACAAGTGTTCGATATGTGTCCAACAAGTGTCCATGCTTCTTAGTCTATGTTTGGGGACAATGCTTTGTATATACTTTTTCAAGGGTAAAAAATTGAAAATGTCTGAGTTTTCAACGTGTTATTTGATCTTTAGTTTTCATTCTTGTAATGTAAACTTTGATTGCTGTGATTAGTTTTCATAGTTCAAATTTAATATATAATATTAGTCGTGTTGACATTGGCGTTAAAAATAAATTTTAGTATGCTGATGTAACCTCGCCCCCTTTCGATAACATACCTGAGGAAGTTTATCCCCCTTAGATGTAGGAGGTATAAGTAAAAAGTTATAGTTTTAACCATGCATCCAAGAGTTTAGAGTTTATAGCAAGACCTTGTAGATTGATTCAATCTTTGTTTTACACGCGACTACTTGAAACGTAATTTGTTATCCTCTACAGAAAAGAAGTTCGACGAGATCCCAAGAAAAAACACATGTTCGTGTTCCATATTGTAGGAATGTCGAATCAACGGTAAGGAAGTTCTGACGTTTGCTAAGGGGCTGGTACCAGCCAGCCTAATGAGGTCACATAAATGTGTAGCATGCAATAGAGAATAATATCACTGTATGACAAAGTTCCCGTGCCTGATTAATTACATGGTTCGTTTCAGGTCGATCCTGCGTGACATGAATTATATATATATATCGTATGAATCTATAGAATGAGTAGTAGTCTGAAGTATGTAATGGAGGTGGTTTCGATTGTTTCAAAATTATTTTTACAGAAAGAAATGAGGGGTCAACTTGATCCTGAGATTTGTAATGTCATACGTCAAATTCAGCCTGTGTAAACACTAAACTGTTCTTCCCATGAGTTCTACAATTAATGTTTTGGAGTATTGAAGGTTGGAGTGTGTTTGCGTTTTTGCTTTTGTTTGCTAAGAAGACAACACTCGACAGGTTCTGATTTGTGTTTTGTGATATATTGCAATTATTATTGGGGTCGGATTTTCTAGAAGTTTAACATATCGTTGAACTTTGATGTCTGTATCTATTTAGTTTCTTAAAATTTTAAAAAATCGTTCAATTTTTTGAAATTGATATTTTAAAGTCTAATGGACATAAAATTCATATTTATATTTAATAGTCGAGTTAATTTTTAGAATTTAGAATTTAAAGAGATAGGTGTAAAATTGAAAATCTATGATCTTATTAGATCGAATTGAAAATCTGTGATCTTATTAGATTGAATCTGATGTCAATATTATGCTAATTTAGTGAATAGGTCGAAATTTTTATTAGTTTATTTTTAGTTCGATTATTCCATTTTCTGGAATAAATAAGCATATATTTAGACTTTTAAAGAAAATAATTAATAATTTCTTCCCTTAATGATATTTAAAGAAAATAATTAATTTATACTTAAAAGAAGTCTATAATTTGTGAGCCATTAAAATGATAAATTAATAATAGTATTGATCAAAATCTTAAATTTGCATACATTAGTGTCTAATCTCTTCTTGTGTACAAGACATGCACGTAATATGATATGATATGAAAAGGAAATGAAAGAACATTAAATCATATATTAAGATATTAAACAAAAAAAATAAATAAAAAAGTATGATTCTTGTTTTAAATAATCTCAATAAATTACTTAAAACTCACTAAAAATGACAGAAAACCTATACCTTTAAACTCGGGAAGTTTATCAATAAAAAGTCTAAATTAATAATTGTATCGGGTTTATGTAGTTTATAACTATTTTCACTTCTATTTAGATTTATTAAAACTACGAATCAAATATCTCATCAAAATGCACTCTATACTCATCTCGAATGACAAAAATAATTAATCAAGTGTGACAATAGGTTTTCTAACGAGCCTTGCAAAAATTTGTAGCGTTTTACCGTAAGGGCGAGTCACCGGGCGGGTGAATGGCATAGGCATTTAGCGCCCTGTTTTGCTCAAGCAGGCTCGACCAACTACCATTCTCAACCGTTCAGATTCCTCCAATTCTTCACCCTTTAAGATCAGTTTTCGGAAGAAGGTAGTGGGTCCAAAATCTGGATAGCCATCCCTAACCCCACACCACATCACGAGCTGCATAGTCTTTTTCCAGTGGCTCAAAGTCTATGCTTCAATCAGCTGTCAATGTCTACCATTCAATATTTTCTTCCCCATCAGCCATCAGCCATCAGCTATCAGCCATCAGCCATGTTTTTGAGCTTTTGGGTTTTGGGGATTGCTGCAATTGTCAAATAACACTGTTTCATTCGATCTAAACAGCGTGATTTCTTCATCCTCTGATGCTCAATGGTCTAGTTAGGTTTGCTTGTGTGAGATCCCACATCGGTTTGAGAGGGGAACAAAACATTCCTTATGAGAGTGTGGAAATCTTTCCCTAGTAGACACGTTTTAAAACTGTGAGGTTGATGACGATACGTAAGAGTCAAAGCAGACAATATCTACCAGCGGTGAGCTAGGAGTGATACAGCTTGGCTCCATAGACATTGGCTAAGACTACAACCCCATAATTGGCACCGACCCAAGCTCGAAAACTTGATGCAAATTGCTGTCTGAATCTCCTTCAAGCGATTGAGGTGTAGAGAGGCCTTTTCTTTTACAAGAGAGGCATGGAATTGACACCTAGAAAGAACACAGGAGAAGGGTGTAAATCATCTCGAGACAATGCAATGAAATGCAGCCCGTGTGTGTGTGTGTTGGTTGGCTCTTATTTTGAAATAGGTAGCTCTACTAATAGTGTTTAGCTGGGTTGGACCCTGGAATCAAGCAGCAGAATCAGCAATAATTCTGCCAAAAGAATCTACTTTCTTCTCTTTCCTACACATCAAGTTCACATGCAGACTGACAAAAGACTATCACATGTCTTTGTTTCTTGTGAAAATGTTAAATGGCCTTCACTTTCCCCCCTTTGCTTTCAGTTAATATCCATACTCATCCAACTACTGGAGCAGTGAAGCTCGTTACTTACATTACTACTCCTCCCACTCCACTCTTCATTGCATATCCTGATATGCATTGAACATCAGATAGGCACTTCTTTCAAAATTTCGCCATGAATCTGATTCTACTCTTAGTCTTAGCTTCCTTGGTTTCAAGTTCCCTTGTGTTGGGAATTCAGGCTGTTCATTCCCACCACTCAAGAATATTTTCTCAGATTACTGTTATGGGCCTTGTTTATTGTGACACCTGCTCCAACAATTCCTTCTCCAAGCACAGTTACTTCTTACCAGGTAATGCCCTAATTCATTTCTTCATACTATGTTGTTACTCGAGTAAGCTAAAGCTTAAGTTTAAGTCCTGAGTTCAACAAATTGAACCTGGACGAGACTTCAAATGGCAAAACTAGTGTCTAAGTGTTGCATAGTCTTCTTCAGCGTTTTGATTTTGAGTTTGAACTTTTTCGTTTTCGCAGCTTTGATGTTATGGTTGGAATTGAATGTCTACTTTGTTGAGTTCTTGTGTGGTTTCTAACGAGATTTAAAGTGTTCTGTTGATTAGATTTTGAGTAACCTAATTTCAAAAATAGCATTGATTCAATTCAACCACTTATTCAAAGAATGATTGAGAAAATTTCTTGTTTATAAACGAAACAAAAAATTAAACAGGTGCAGAAGTTCGAATCGACTGCAAATTAAAAGCAGAAACGCCGCGTACAGCGGAGCAAATAGCATTCTCAGTGAACAGAACAACAAACAAAAACGGAGTTTACAAATTGGAAATACCTTCGATGGACGGAATCCGATGTGCAGAGGATTCCTCAATGGTGTCGTTCTGCCAAGCGAGTTTGATGGGAAGTTCGTCGTCCGCTTGCAACGTTCCAGGATACAAAACCACATCGGGAGAAATTTCAATCAAATCGAGACAGTCAAACGTTTGCATTTACAGCTTAAATCCGCTGAATTACAGGCCATCAACAAGAGACGATATCTTGTGCGGGAATTAGCAAGAAAATGGAAGAAGAAGAAGAAGAAGAAGATTACCTTTTGATCAAGCTTGGATTGGAATATGTGATTTTTGTTTTTCAGTCGGGATTTCACAAATTTCTGTGTAATGTTTTTGTACAGTTTTGATCCGCCTTTTGGAAGTTCGTCGTCTGCTTGCAACGTTCCTGGATACGAATTTCTTGTGTCTAATAGATTTTAGCTATAAAAAATATTTATATTTTACTAAAAAAAAGTACCAATTTTGTGTTTGATAAGTCCAAACAAATTGGAAATCTTATAATTAGATAACATAGATCCAGGCCCAGGCCCAGGTCCAGCCCATACCTTTTCATTCAGAAGCCCAATAGGCCCAGGTTCAGCCCAATCGGCTCAGGTCCAGATCATACTTTTCCATTCAGAAGCCCAATAGGCCCAGGTCTAGCCTATACTTTTCCATTCAGAAACACAATCGGCCCAGATCCATATCATATTTTCCATTCAGAAGCCCGATAGGCCCAGGTCGCGCATACTTTTCCATTCAAAAGCCCATAGGCCCAGGCCCAGATCATACTTTTCCATTTAGAGGCCCAATCGGCCCAGGTCTAGGTCCAGCTCATACTTTTCCATTCGGAAGCCCAATATGCCCAGGTCCAGCTCATACTTTTCCATTCAGAAGTGCAACCCAGATCCAGCTCATACTTTTCCATTCCGTAGCCCAATAGGCCAAGGTCCAGCTCATACTTTTCATTCAGAAGCCCAATAGGCCCAGGTCCAGCTCATACTTTTCCATTCAGAAGCCCAACCCAGGCCACATCCAGCTCATACATTTTCATTTAGAAGCCCAATAGGCCCAGGTCCAGCTCATACTTTTCCATTCAGAAGCTCAATCGGCCCAGGTCCAGCTCATACTGTACCATTCAGAAGCCCAATATATCTGGCCCAGTAGCCCATAAAAGCCGCGAAAACATAAGCCCATCTTGTTCTTATTTTGCCCTAGCCGTCAGCTATCTTTCCCCCCTCTTTTCTTCACGCTACTTCGTCGCCGCTTATTTATATTTGATCCCTCCTCGGACTCTGCCTTTCACCACGTTCGCGGAAAATGGTACGAATCTACTCTCTCTTGTTTCAGTTTACTAGTTTGGTTTTCGTTTTGTATAGTTTCGGATTTAATCTTTTGTTTTCAGATGCGTGTGTAGAATCGATTCATGAATGTGTTTTTGGTTGGTCCCCTGTTGTAGATGATATTTCGATATTTCGATAACTTAACCTGAAAAAAAACCTGTATTATGGTTGCACGTCTAATGCGCTTTCTGGGTTTCAGTTTTGAAACCATGGAATTAGGTTATAGGAGTTGTTTGGTCCATCGATATTTGGACAAAATGGGGCATCTTTACTTGCTTTTTACATCACGAGGTTTTGATCAATGAACCTGTTTGAACTGCTTCTATTTGAACCAGTTTTTGGCTTTCGTTGATTTTGTTAGCTTTACTGCCTTGTATTTAACCTGGGTTTTGGACTGCGTCTTTGCTAAATGCTTGCTAGCTTGTTTGAATTGAGGCTCGAGAGACATTTTTTTTTTTTTTACCCATTTTGTATTCTTTCATGGACTCACCTTGTTTTCTGGCCTTTACTAATGCAGTAGCATATCATCATTTCGTTATTAATATTTTATTACTAAATGAAGTTCGCTCTGTATATTGATTCCACCCGTTACAGTTATTAGTTATTATGTATACTTGTAGAAATGTTTAGTATATTTTCACAAATCCGCATTACCAATATTATATACTTCTTGCGTAGGCCATTAAGCTGAGCCTGAAGAGACTTTAACAGAAATTATTGATGTAGTGCTGTGATGTAGTGGCAGCTATTGTTAAATCCTGTATAAACATTGATAACGTTACGTCAAGGGCATAGAATTGTGTTCACATTCCTTGCTTGAAATGTAGTATTCTAATGAACCCATAGATGTAATAAAATATGACAGAGGTACCAATAGGCATTACTGCTTTTGAGGCACAACAAAAATATGAAGAATATTGTACGATATTGAATTTGTCTTGAAATGCCATCCTTTCCTTCTTTCAAAAGTCTAGGAGACATCGGTGTTTACTTGTATAACTTACTAGTTCGAATCCCTTCCCCTTCACTTCAATTTTTCCCAATGTCATGATAAGTGATTCCTTTTCCTTGCATTATATGTTATTTGTTCTTTTTAAGATTCTTTTCGAAGTTTTGCTTCTTTGACTGAAATGAAATATACTGACATTATTTTATTGTATTCTTAAAAGGCACCAAAGAAGGCTGTTGGAAAAGCCTTGGCAAAAAAGAAGCCGGTAAAGGATTCTTTCCCTTGATGCATGTCCCCTGATTTATTATCGTTCTTGTTTCTTGGCTGCTTTTGTTTAATACAGTGTTGTGGTGTTAGCAGGAGAAGGTGGTGAATCCACTATTTGAGAAGCGTCCGAAGCAATTTGGAATTGGTGGGGCATTGCCGCCAAAGAGGGATTTGACACGGTTTGTTAAATGGCCTAAAGCTGTTCAAATTCAGAGGAAAAAGAGGATTCTTAAACAGAGGTTGAAGGTTCCACCAGCTTTGAACCAGTTCACTAAGACCCTTGACAAAAATCTTGGTAATGTCATTGAATGTGCTATCAGAAAAAATTCTTATGTTGAATCCTCTTACACTTTCAAGCTTGAAATTCTTTAACTATCAGCTTTTTGACTTTCATTGTTTTGTAGTTCTGTGAATTATGATTTTTAACCATCTTGGATATATGAGGTTCCGTTGCCTTTAGTCTTTCTTTTTTTTTTTTTTTTTTT